TTTCAACTACCCCCATTTTTTGTGTTGAATGAATCTTTTCCCCAAAAAGAACTCGGAAGAGGGTTGCGAGATTTGGACGGGGGAGCAAAATAGACAAACCTCCCACACAGACGGGCAAGCAAGAAAAGGGGGAGCTTAGCAGTATAGGGGGCTAGTGAGGGGAGATAGGAAGGTCTAACAGATAATGATCTCTCCTCGTTCCGTGCCTGAATTTGGGAAGTATTATCCCCCGATATATTATAACAAGGCAGTACTTTTTACTCTCCCATTAAATCAGGTATAAAACAAGTGTTTTCCCCGATTTTTATTTATCTTTAGAAACCCCCCCTTAAAATCAGTATCTGATTTATATTTTTTTTAAAAAAAGTCGGATCAGTGAAAAAATTTAGGTGCTGCTTTGGTTTTTATGAAAAAAAAGCTGCTTTTAAAAAAACAAAATTATGTTCGTTTTTAGTATCCCCAAGTGGAATACAATTTTACTCCAGGTCACAGGAAGCATGTATCATATCCAAGAACCTCTTCGGGAAAAGCGGGAAACCCCCGTCACCAGGGGACAACAAGGGGCGGAGACCCAAACCCCTCAACACAGCCTTTGGACCACAAAAGGAGGTTTTTAAAAATAATAACGCATGTATTTCTTTTTAAAAAACCATACGGGGAGGGTCCTTCCACGGAATAACTCATATTAAAAACTTACAAAAATTTTAAACTATAAATTTTTAAAAATATAAACTATAAATTTTTAAATAGTTTATTAAGTTTTTTTAAATTGATTTAATATGCAGCAAAAAGGTCCAAAAGTCGAGCTGTCCAAATGGCAACAGAGAAAATCCAAAAAGCGCGAACTAACAAAAATCTTCACATTGATAGTAGTGGGTAGGTGTATAGAACTAACTAAATATTTACATTATAAAGGGGGAGGAGGGGTATAGTTAAAAAACGCAGAACTAACTAAATATCTTCACATTGATATGTGGGTAGGGGTATAGTTTAAAAAAAACCCGAACTAACTATTTTTCTTCACATTGAAGTATAAGTTTTGTGTGGTGTTATTAAATTTAATTAAGTTTAGTTGTTATATTAGTTTTTAAAGAATTTTTAAGTGGGTTATGGATTTTGATACCACTGAAAGTTTCGTTTTTACTTACAAATAATCGTCAGTTTTTCCTTGACACATTTTGTTTTTGGGTTTTCGGGAAGTAATGTTCATGTGATTTTTATGGTCGTGGTACTGGTTTTATATGGTTATTACGGGTTTTGTGGTTTGTTCTGTGGTTTTTATGTTTCTGTGGGTTTTGGGTCCCGATGGTCTATGTAGCCCCAGGTTCACTCGCCCAATGCCGAGAAATCGGGGGGTGGGGTTAAAAGGCTGGTTATCAACACGCAAGTCGGGCGAAAAAATGGCTGTGCCCTTAACCTTCTCCTTTAAAAATCCCCTTTCCCTTCTTTAAAACCTCCTTTAATCTTTTAAAAATTTAATCATAATCCGAATAAAATAACAAAGGGGGGTTCACTCATCATGCCTTTTTCCCAAAAATCCTCAAAGTAAGTAAATAAGATAAGATAAATAAATAAGTAAGATAATAAGATAAGATAAATAAGAAGAGTACGGTTTTATATGGGTTAGTTACTGTTACTGGGGTTTTTGGTTCATGGTTGTTCTGGGGTTTCGGTTTTATGTGGTTTTACGGTTTCTGGGTTCGTTTCTGTGGTTATGGTTCTGGGTTAGTTTTCTGGTTTTTGTGGTTATGGTTTATGGGTTGTTACGGGGAAAGTGGTTACTGGGTTTAAGGTTTGGTTACTGGTAATGTGGTTACTTGTTCATGTGGTTAGTTACTGGTTACTGGTTCATGTGGTTAGTTACAGGTTACTGTGGTTACTGGTTCATGTGGTTAGTTACTGGTTACTGTGGTTACTGGTTCATTTGGTTAGTTACTGGTTACTGTGGTTATTGGTTCATGTGGTTAGTTACTGGTTACTGTGGTTACTGGTTCATGTGGTTAGTTACTGGTTACTGTGGTTACTGGTTATTGTGGTTAGTTACTGGTTACTGTGGTTACTGGTTCATGTGGTTAGTTACTGGTTACTGTGGTTACTGGTTCATGTGGTTAGTTACTGGTTACTGTGGTTACTGGTTCATATGGTTAGTTACTGGTTACTGTGGTTACTGGTTCATGTGGTAAGTTACTGGTTTACTGGTTCATGTGGTTAGTTACTGGTTACTGTGGTTACTGATTCATATGGTTAGTTACTGGTTTACTGTGGTTACTGGTTCATATGGTTAGTTACTGGTTACTGTGGTTACTGGTTCATGTGGTTAGTTACTGGTTACTGTGGTTACTGGTTCATGTGGTTAGTTACTGGTTACTGTGGTTACTGGTTCATGTGGTTAGTTACTGGTTACTGTGGTTACTGGTTCATGTGGTTAGTTACTGGTTACTGTGGTTACTGGTTCATGTGGTTAGTTACTGGTTACTGTGGTTACTGGTTCATGTGGTTAGTTACTGGTTACTGTGGTTACTGGTTCATATGGTTAGTTACTGGTTACTGTGGTTACTGGTTCATGTGGTAAGTTACTGGTTACTGGTTCATGTGGTTAGTTACTGGTTACTGTGGTTACTGGTTCATGTGGTTAGTTACTGGTTACTGTGGTTACTGGTTCATGTGATTAGTTACTGGTTTCTGTGGTTACTGGTTCATGTGATTAGTTACTGGTTACTGTGGTTACTGGTTCATGTGATTAGTTACTGGTTACTGTGGTTACTGGTTCATGTGATTAGTTACTGGTTACTGTGGTTACTGGTTCATGTGATTAGTTACTGGTTACTGTGGTTACTGGTTCATGTGATTAGTTACTGGTTACTGTGGTTACTGGTTCATGTGGTTAGTTACTGGTTACTGTGGTTACTGGTTCATGTGATTAGTTACTGGTTACTGTGGTTACTGGTTCATGTGGTTAGTTACTGGTTACTGTGGTTACTGGTAGGCTATCCGATCCGATAATCGTTACCGATAATTATCTCCGATAATTCGTTAAAAAAGGTTATCTGTTTATCTAGATAAAACATATTTTTATCGGTATAAAAATTCACTAGAAATTACCGAAAAAACTGCCACAATACCGTAAAATTTTAAAGAAATATTAGTGTTTTTTGCCTTCCCAAGTAATCCAAGAAACAGTCCCAAACGTTTTATAGTATGATAGAAGAGGTAGTTTACTTAAATGTGAGCTTAAGAGGTTTATTTACATTTGTATACCTATGGAACTGTAGAACTGTAGAACTGTAAAAGTCTAGAGAAAGTTATTAACATTGTTATCTTGAAGTTGAGGCTAGGGTGCTGGCGTTCTACCTTACTTGAACCATTCTGGAGACAGGAACGAGCATGTTACTGTTAACAAGAGTCAAAAATACCGGCAGGCGGCAGGGCACTCAATTAAATTCCGTAAGTGTTCTAGGCGTGAAACATTGTCTTCAGGAGAAGGAATCTGTTGCTCCAAGTTATCCACAGGATAAGGAAACGGTTCACTGAATCACTTTAAATGTTTTACTGTTTCGAGGAGAATTGGTATTTGTTGCACTACTGTTCTCAAGAGAAGGATACCGGTGGTCTACTGTTTTGAAGAGAACTGGTGCACTACTGTTCTCAGGAGAAGGAAACCGGTGGTCTAATGTTTTGAAGAGAACTGGTGCACTACTGTTCTCAGGAGAAGGAAACCGGTGGTCTACTGTTTTGAAGAGAACTGGTGCACTACTGTTCTCAGGAGAAGGAAACCGGTGGTCTAATGTTTTGAAGAGAACTGGTGCACTACTGTTCTCAGGAGAAGGAAACCGGTGATCTACTGTTTTGAAGAGAACTAGTGCGTTACTGTTCTCAGGAGAAGGAAACCGGTGGTCTACTGTTTTGAAGAGAACTAGTGCGTTACTGTTCTCAGGAGAAGGAAACCCTTGGTCTACTGTTTTGAAAAGAACTGGTGCACTACTGTTCTCAGGAGAAGGAAACCGGTGGTCTACTGTTTTGAAGAGAACTAGTGCGTTACTGTTCTCAGGAGAAGGAAACCGGTGGTCTAATGTTTTGAAGAGAACTAGTGCATTACTGTTCTCAGGAGAAGGATACCAGTGGTCTACTGTTTTGAAGAGAACTGTTGCACTACTGTTTTCAGGAGAAGGAAACCGGTGGTCTACTGTTTTGAAGAGAACTAGTGCGTTACTGTTCTCAGGAGAAGGAAACCGGTGGTCTACTGTTTTGAAGAGAACTAGTGCGTTACTGTTCTCAGGAGAAGGAAACCCTTGGTCTACTGTTTTGAAGAGAACTGGTACACTACTGTTTTTAGGAGAAGGAAACCGGTGATCTACTGTTTTGAAGAGAACTGGTACACTACTGTTCTTAGGAGAAGACAAACCGTTGGTCTACTGTTTTGAAGAGAACTGGTACACTATTGTTCCCCGGAGAAGAAAACTGATGCTCTAATATTTTCAAAAGAAAGGAAATTGTACTTTAGCAAGATTACTGGTAAACAGTAATAAAAGTCGACAATCAGTTTTTGTGAAATTTGGAAAACATTTTGGCTTTGGCCTTCAGCAGAAAAATTATCGGTTTTATCGGTTTTATCTAGATAAAACCTAAATTTTTATCTGTTTATCTAGATAAAAGATTTCATACCGATAATGGATAGCCTAGTTACTGGTTCATGTGGTTAGTTACTGGTTACTGTGGTTACTGGTTCATGTGGTTAGTTACTGGTTGCTGTGGTTACTGGTTCATATGGTTAGTTACTGGTTACTGTGGTTACTGGTTCATGTGGTAAGTTACTGGTTACTGGTTCATGTGGTTAGTTACTGGTTACTGTGGTTACTGGTTCATGTGATTAGTTACTGGTTACTGTGGTTACTGGTTCATGTGATTAGTTACTGGTTACTGTGGTTACTGGTTCATGTGGCGTTTCCTCAGCGTTCGGAAGAAGAAGAGACAAAAAAGACAAGACAGAGACATCGGTCTGAAAGTAGCTGCCCTCACCCCAAAACATTTGGTTTGTCTGTAATATCACTGAATATGCTAACAAATCCAGTTAATTTTGTGCCGATCAAGAAAATGTTTAATATTTTTAATAGTTTTGTGTTCCCTTCTCTCAGGAAGATATTTTACAATCCAAAACTTTATGAGATTTACCAACTAACCGTTTCTCTTCAGATCTGAAGGGTAGAAGGATGTCGAAGCAAGCCACCATGATAAGCCAAGAAGGTTTAAAGTTGTCCTCCGCTATAAAATCAACTGATCTAAACTACCAGTCCACTAACACTCCTACCAGTCATCACATTGAGTAGGTTCAGCTTCTGTGGTTTTATTTTCCCGCGCTAAAATCTTTTGACAACTTGGTTCCTATTCGTAATGCTCGCTGTTCAGTAATCAGTATTCCACAGCACATGGTATACCTATAATAGAGCTATAGTTAAATCATTAATTTGAATATTAACCTTGAACTCTATTACAGGCCCCACACAGTGTATGTAGAGTTGGAGGAGCTCCATGAAGATGATAAAACTAAGAAAATGGAGTGGGTTGAAACTGCGAGGTGGCTCAAGGTTAGTGACTACTTAGTGACTAGTTAGTGACTAGTGAGACTGAGCATGTTTCACATCTTTGAATCAGAGAATCAAAGATTCTCTGAATCTATCCCTCCTAATTCCAAAATTTTATAATTATAAACCTGTTTCACGGTTGTTTTAGACAATTTATGTACATTTATGTTTACTACAACATTAGAATTGTAATTAGTTTCATTAACTAACACACTCCTGTGTTTAATTAATTGTAATTAGTTTCATTAACTAACACACTCCTGTGTTTAATTAATTGTAATAAGTTTCATTAACTAACACACTCCTGTGTTTAATTAATTGTAATTAGTTTCATTAACTAACACATAAACTAACACACCTCTGTGTTTCAGTATGAGGAGGATATGGAGAAGAGTGAGAGGTGGGGTAAGCCTCACGTGTCTTCTCTCAGTTTCCATAGTCTACTGGAACTGCGCAGGGGCTTCTCCAAAGGTACTTATTAATTAATTATTAATTATTAATTAATTATAGCTCAAAGTAATATGTTGTCATGTTGAGAATATGTTTTCATGTGGTAAGATTATTCACATCAGTAATAAATAGTTTTAATTCGAGATTAATTGTAAAACCGTCTGAATTACAAATTTGAACTGCACTTAGCTTATAATAATACTTAAATGTCTAGATAAATTGTAAAACAACCATCTTAGTATTACAAATTTAAACTACGCTAAAATGGAATTATAACTCCAGGTATAGCAGTGATAGATTCAAGAGAGGTGACCCTACAAGGTGTAGCTCACGAGGCTCTTAATGAGTTTGTTCACCAAGGCATCCTGAAGAGGGAACACAAGGACATTGTACTTCGTGCTCTCCTCTTGAAACACAAGTTTGTAGCATTTGCTAGGATTTGTTAGGATTTGTTAGGATTTGTTAGGATTTGTTAGGATTTGCTAGGATTTGTTAGGATTTGCTAGGATTTGTAGGATTTTAAAGATTTGTAGGATTTTTTAGGATTTGTTCGGATTTGTAGGATTTTAAAGATTTGTAGGATTTTTTAGGATTTGTTAAGATTTGTAGGATTTTAAAGATTTGTAGGATTTGTAGGATTTGCTAGTTCAGACTGTGTAGAGTTGTTAAAAAACTAGTTTTCGTCCAGTTTTCAATTAAATGTACTCTTGATAGATAGATTGATAAGCTTTTACCTTTCACTTGGTAGATAATAAGATAATACATGATAAAAACTCGTTTGATTATATATAATAAGCTTGTATCACTTAACTTACATTTTCAGGAATGAGTTTCAGTCCAAGAAGAATAAAAGGAAAAGTTTAGATTTTTTGACTGCTATGAGAAACAGAAGGGCTCATTCTCTGGTTAGATAATAGATACGATCTCTTGAGCTCTTAGAATAATATTCCCTTTGTTGGAGGAATAAAGCAGGCATTTCCTTCTACTTAAATTTACATTTACAGACCGGAAAAAGTTGATTTCATGTTAGATTTCCCTGCAAATTCTTAAAATCTATTTTACAAGCGATTTACACAAGTTTTACAAGTTTTTCTTAACAGTCGACAGGAAAATTGTTGTGATCCATGAATTTTTATCAGGCGCCAGATAAAGTCTTAACTGAGAAGGATGATGCAAAATCAGAAAACAAGGTTACTTTTTAAGTTTTAAATTTTCACTACAAGTTTGGAATACCGGCAGTCAAAATCCATCCAGAAATAATAATCTGAACAGCGACAAGAAATTCAATAGGTTGATTCAATACAATCATTAAATTACTTGGTGTTTCAACATATTTAGCCTTACGAACAGATTTTTTTCTATAAAATAACAGCATTTTTAGCATTTCGGCATGTTTTGTCTTTATTCCACGGGTATTCTGCCAGTTGGGATCTAGTGCCAGAACCCACAGATAATAGTATTATCGGTATAAGATGCAATTTACTAAAGGTCTGAAATGTAAGGATTCCGACCATTTTATTAGCTTATTGGATCAATTTTATTAGCGGTAGGTATCGAATGACACTATCTGGTTGATGTAATGCAGTAATGATGAGGCTTGAAAATTTAATAATATCATAATTTATTGGTTCATTATATTACAATTAAAATACAGTTTCATATATCAGGACGCCAACAGAGGAGGGGGGGGGGGGGGGGGGGCGCCAACAGGGGGCACTTTTTCAGCGGGGGAAGCGCCACCAGGGGGGGGGAGGGGGGCGCCAACAGGGGGGGGGGGGCGCCAACAGGGGGCACTTTTTCAGCGGGGGAAGCGCCACCAGGGGGGGGGGGAGGGGGGCGCCAACAGGGGGGGGGGGGGCGCCAACAGAGGAGGGGGGGGGGGGGCGCCAACAGGGGAGGGGCGCCAACAGGGGGGCACTTTTTCAGCGGGGGAAGCGCCACCAGGGGGGGGGGGAGGGGGGCGCCAACAGGGGGCACTTTTTCAGCGGGGGAAGCGCCACCAGGGGGGGGGGGGGGGGAGGGGGGCGCCAACAGGGGGGGGGGGGGCGCCAACAGGGGGCACTTTTTCAGCGGGGGAAGCGCCACCAGGGGGGGGGGGAGGGGGGCGCCAACAGGGGGGGGGGGCGCCAACAGAGGAGGGGGGGGGGCGCCAACAGGGGAGGGGCGCCAACAGGGGGCACTTTTTCAGCGGGGGAAGCGCCACCAGGGGGGGGGGGGAGGGGGGCGCCAACAGGGGGGGGGGGCGCCAACAGGGGGCACTTTTTCAGCGGGGGAAGCGCCACCAGGGGGGGGGGAGGGGGGCGCCAACAGGGGGGGGGGCGCCAACAGAGGAGGGGGGGGGGGGGGCGCCAACAGGGGAGGGGCGCCAACAGGGGGCACTTTTTCAGCGGGGGAAGCGCCACCAGGGGGGGGGAGGGGGGCGCCAACAGGGGGGGGGGGGCGCCAACAGAGGAGGGGGGGGGGGGGGGCGCCAACAGGGGAGGGGCGCCAACAGGGGGGCACTTTTTCAGCGGGGGAAGCGCCAACAGGGGGGGGGGGAGGAGGGGGCGCCAACAGGGGGGGGGGGGAGGGTGGGGGCGCCAACAGGGGGGAGGGGGGGGGCGCCAACAGGCAACGTTACGCCCCAAACACACAAATATGCTCACCAATCGTATCCCAACGTTTATCAACAGCAGTAGTGCACCTCGTTACCTCATTAAAAGCCATTGTGGTCTTAATAAATACCACACGTTATAAATCTTACTCTATCTGTGACAGTTTCGGGCCATAGTGCAATTACTGAGATGGCATTGGCATTATTACTCTCTTGGGGCAAATCTTCTAGGCTATCAAATTTAAATAGGAGATGCCACTTCATTTATAGAGTTTCTTCAGTCTGATTTCAAACAACATTTATCATGGTTTCGCGCATGTTAAAGATACTCAGGTCTAAATCCAGGATGAAGTGTGTTCGAGAACCACCAATGTTACCGCATAACAAAACAGTTCCAGGTTACCGTGACCTGTAACATTTCACATACAAGTGACAAATCTACCAGTAGAAACACTGTTTCAGTGCTACTTCCATTGTATTTCATCAGTGGCGCTATTGTGAGGAATCTGCGGCTGATTCAAACAAAAGGGCCAGAGAGAAGAAACAATGTGTTAAACAGCGTGTTAAACACATTAACCATCTTCGTTGGGGCTTGGAATTCTAGAAAAAGTAACATTTAGGACACGCTTTGATTCAAGACTCTTGAACGTTAAAAAGCATCGCAATCACGATAGGAGTACTTCCTGGCAAATTGTCATAATAATATTGTTATAGTTATTGATACTGTGATACAATAATAAACGGATATAATAAGTTTAATTTTGATCAATTTAGCAAAATTACACAATAATGATTCAAATTTCAAACCAATAAAGTTTAAACAATTCAAAAAATTATGAACCAATAATAAATCTTATGAATTTAGCATGTTATGTTGTGTATAATATTATGTATGTTTAGTATGTCTATTGTTTAGTATGTTATGTAGCATCTCAGTAATGAATGCTTCACGGTGATTCAATTTCAGAAACGACTTAGCTGCCCGGATGAGGATCTCGGAAGATTCAAGAAGATACAACGACGCATATCTTCTTTCGATCCAACATTTGGTAACAAATAATAACTATTAATACAATAATCAACAGAAGCTGAAAGTTATTCATCTTAATTCAGTTACTTTACTCCGATTTTATTTATAGATATATTAATTTTATATGAATTATTTTCAATAAATGTTTTTGCCATGAAACGGACCAAACTGATCCTAACTCATATTCCACTCATCATAGCATATCGCTTCAGCATGTACAAAGGGCATAACCTCAATCAGTTTAATGTAGTGAAATGACTGGTGTGAATGAAGTAGTGTACTAATACAAGTTGGAGAGGATCAGGTAAGCTTAGTCAGCATCCATGATGTTACAAACCCTCTGGGACATTACTGCGCCCAGTCTCCAAAGTTACAGTAAATTCCTACTACGGACAAACAAACACAGACAAAACACCAACAAGAAACTGATATACACTAGCTAGCTCAGAGAGGAAATGAGTACCGGCTCAGGAGGTATGTCAAAACAGGGCGCCCTTTCGAACACTACTCGGGCTAGAATCAGTGCAATTCGGACACTACTATGCAACTGAACCATGCAAAACTATATAAGTACACCTATGCTGGCAAGGCAATAGGTCAGACTGCCAGTCCTGAAAACCAGTTCTATGATAAGGGTCACGCAAGCCCCGAAGGGTTAATACAAAATCAATAAATGTTTTTGCCATGAAACGGACCAAACTGATCCTAACTCATATTCCACTCATCATAGCATATCGCTTCAGCATGTACAAAGGGCATAACCTCAATCAGTTTAATGTAGTGAAATGACTGGTGTGAATGAAGTAGTGTACTAATACAAGTTGGAGAGGATCAGGTAAGCTTAGTCAGCATCCATGATGTTACAAACCCTCTGGGACATTACTGCGCCCAGTCTCCAAAGTTACAGTAAATTCCTACTACGGACAAACAAACACAGACAAAACACCAACAAGAAACTGATATACACTAGCTAGCTCAGAGAGGAAATGAGTACCGGCTCAGGAGGTATGTCAAAACAGGGCGCCCTTTCGAACACTACTCGGGCTAGAATCAGTGCAATTCGGACACTACTATGCAACTGAACCATGCAAAACTATATAAGTACACCTATGCTGGCAAGGCAATAGGTCAGACTGCCAGTCCTGAAAACCAGTTCTATGATAAGGGTCACGCAAGCCCCGAAGGGTTAATACAAAATCAATAAATGTTTTTGCCATGAAACGGACCAAACTGATCCTAACTCATATTCCACTCATCATAGCATATCGCTTCAGCATGTACAAAGGGCATAACCTCAATCAGTTTAATGTAGTGAAATGGCTGGTGTGAATGAAGTAGTGTACTAATACAAGTTGGAGAGGATCAGGTAAGCTTAGTCAGCATCCATGATGTTACAAACCCTCTGGGACATTACTGCGCCCAGTCTCCAAAGTTACAGTAAATTCCTACTACGGACAAACAAACACAGACAAAACACCAACAAGAAACTGATATACACTAGCTAGCTCAGAGAGGAAATGAGTACCGGCTCAGGAGGTTATTTTCTATCAAGTAATTCTCACAGTTCAACTTCAGGAGCACTAAACTAGAATATTCTAAAAGATCACTTCGCTAAAACCTGCTGTAACCAGCTTACCACATTACACTGTATAGTTCAACTTCAGGAGCCAGATCCACTTCACAAGGTTACTCAAAAGACATCTCCGATCCTGCTGCAGAGCGTAGACAGAGCATATTTGATAGGCTTCAGCTCAAAATTAATGAATTTAAAGGTAACTAAGATTCACTTAAGTTCCTTATAATATTATATCACCGTGGTTTTAGCAGAATTATTTAGTTTTTAGTTATTTAAGTATAGTTGACTCGGCAATAAAACCTCCCATTTCTTCATAATTTCATACTTTTCAGGGAGATCGAGCAAATCAGAAGATCTGGAGTCTTGTGTTTTTACTAACGTTGCGAGTGAAGCACCTACTTTACCCGCCCTCACAGAGGAGACAATGGATGAGATACAACCTCCAAATGAGGCAAAACAAGGGAATACCTCAAATGAGTCAAAACAGGGAAATAACTCAAATGAGGCAAAACAAGGAAATTCTTCAAATGAAACGGCAGAAGAGAGGGAGATAACCGAAATTTCTGACAAGTTGGTGTCGAACATTCTAGAAAAAGTGAAGCAAGATTTTATGAAATGTGAGCAAGAGATCAAACAGAAGCGGACTGGTGAGCGGACAATAAAATTTCAGTATTTTATTATAAGTATCCAATGGCTCAATTTGTTAAGCTTTCTGTTATTTGCTGTTTCTTCAAGTGCCCGAGTTGGATAACTAAATAGCCCCTCAGTGCATGTTGCTTTTGGTTCTGATCTTTCCAGCCAATTTTTTCAGGTCTAAATTCCCGAAAGACAGTTTCATTCATGGAACCCCGAAAGTCAACAGTTGGACTCCACGAACTAAATTTTGACAGACCTACACTCTCTCCTACCGCTCACTTTGTTCTTAACAATCCTCTCGTTGTGGAAGAGGAGGAGGAAGAGGAGGATGGTGTTAGGGTAAAATAATTCCAGTTATGGGATCCGCAATGTTTTTATAGTTTTGTACGCTGGGATAACATTATATATTAAATTGGAGCTTATTTCAGAGATTAATTTTTTATTGGAAAGTTTTGTAAAGTTTTGGGAAGTTAAATAAAAGTTCACAAAAGAACAAAGGAGTAGGTCACCTCCAATGGTTAATCGAATTTGTTTGGTAGCTTGATCGAAGTCTGAAAGCACAAAACTAGGCTAAAAGTTGTAGCCATTTTAAAATCATATATAATATAAATGGTTGGAGATTGGAGGTTATTGTACAACCTGCGTCTTTGACCTTGGTTATAATACGATAATATGAGGTCATATTAAAGAAACAATCAGCTTGAAGTACTCCTTCCACAAGGTATTGGATGCAATAACGAAACATGTGGAGACAACGTCAGGATCCGAAGAAGTACAAGCATCTCAAGAATCCAGCTCCGGCAAGGATGGAGGGGACAAGAAGTCATCTGTCAGTGACGGCAAAAGGAGAGCCAGTACTGCACAGTTCCTCAAGCATAAACTTAACAGGTAATTGCAATACATTTGCAGCTTAATTATAATGTTTTCCGTTTTTTATCTGCTTGATATCTACGATTTGGCACCAATATCTCAATATCTCACACAATACAATGTTGCTTCAAATTGGGGTTTTTCTGATTGGATCAAAATAAATTGAAAGCATGTCAATGGATTTTTATTTGTTTAGATAATCATCACATATTTCACAATTTTCAGTCCTGCAATGTAAAAGTAAGATTATGTCTTGCGCCTGCAAGCTCAGCAATTATAGATTTCGCATTCTGTGGTAAGCAGTGTTTGGCCCACTTCCTGGATCAACCGCTGTAATATAAGTAGCTGATGATGCTAAACCATTATTATAGCTTTATAGCTATATTTTACGCCCGTTTAACAATGCTGAGAAATTCAAGAAAGCTGTCTGGCGAGTATGCTAAAAATTATAAAATTGCTGAGTTGCTGGCTGACATTGGCTGATTTTCAGGTCCCCACTACAATTGCTGAAAGATGCTTCCACGAGAATCGAGGTGAGTTTAAGTTAGGACTTGACTGTAGCATCTTGGCCCCGACAAATTATTGACAGGTATCATTTAAAATTTCAATTCCGGTCTAAGTGGTTGCAGTTATGGTTATAAAAGAGTAGAAGGTATCTGCGTCCAATTCTTGATTGTAGCTGTCAGTCGCTATAGCTGATCATGGCTGATTAAACCTGATTAAACTTGATTATAGCTGTCAGTTGCTATAACTGATCAGACAGTTGATTGAGGAGGGTATAAATCTACTGAGATAATTTCAGAAATACATGTATCCTGATCAGGATAAGAGCAATGATCGTACTAGAAGGTAACGTTAATGTAAGTTGCATGCTATTAATTTATTGTATTTACATAGAGAAGTAAGGACGTCGAGGTAGTTAAAGTCCGGTCATTGAGTTTGTTTAATATAAAAACTGTTGCAAATTCGAAATATGTAATATTTGTCATATCTGCACCTCTTCGCACAATTAGATAATTAACCAATTAACCCCCTCAAGGTTCCTCAGAGCAGGTAGTCTACCCCCTGACTGTGAAGCCGCCCCAGTTTTAGTGGCAAAACTGGACTTTCTCACCAAACCTCTGGTGGCTTTTATCCGGCTAGCTGATGCTCAGTACTTTGGTGCGTGATTTATTATACAATGTTACAAAATATAATGCTTTTGGACACGAAGGTGTTATTTTGGCAATGATGATATTCATAATATATAACCTGTAATACTATTCTGTATATATATATCTAATTTCGTTTTCCAAAAAAAAACCTCTTCAAATATTAGCTTACAAATTTGCTTTATCTTTATAAATCACTAGCAGGAACCCGTCTAACCCTAAAATGGTGTCAAGACTCAAGAGACTAAAACAATTATTACCTATTTAATTCGCGTTTTTTGACACCACTTGGGGTACCAAATTTTGGGCTCTAAAACTCCTATTTCTTGGCCAATTTTTTATTTTTTCATGCTGATTTGGAGACCATTAAAGCATTTGACCCAGTCAAAAAAGTTTCAGTTTTATATCTTTGACGGTTTTTTGCAGAAATTCGCGTTAAAGTTGATGCCGTGGTGTCAGTAAAATGGCACAGATAAATATATATATATCGTCTCGCTTTATATATAGTAAGATAGCTTATATTTTTGGACACGAAGGGAAACACACAACGTAAGGCTCGAAATCTTCGTAAAACTACATCATAAGAGCCTCAAATTATTTGTTATATAGTAATGTTGAAAGTATTAATCTTAATAATCTCAAGAAATCCGTGTGTGTGTGTGTGTGTGTGTGTATGTTTGAAATTTCCGAACGGTTATACAAAAAAAACGGTAAGAGTTACGGGACTGGTTTTTTCGGTATAGTGCCGACAAAACTCTGACGAAGCCAATAAGCAAACTTTATAAAAATCGGCCGGTGGTAAGTGGTTTAATTGATGGTTTTGTACCACAAATGTTACATAAAATGGCTTGATCAGAACGGCAAGAGTTACGGGGCTAGCTCTCTCTCTCTCTGCATAATATTATGTAGCGTATATATTACATGGCGCATATATTACATGGTCATGTAATACTATAAACTTATTAGGGGAGGGAGAGCTCAAACGGTCTGTTTGGACTGTAGAGAGAGTTCATACTTTCATACGACAATGTAATGCATGTTCACAAATATGATAGGCGGGTGTGGTGCATGGTGTTAAGGGTTAATTTCTATTGATTATTGTTTAAGATACTATCTTTTAAGCATACTATTGGATCATGTGAGGGCACTCCGAATAGAATTGCTCGCCTAATCCGGGTTTTGACTCAGCGGGTAATTACTCCTACCCTTTTAAACTGCGGCAGTGAAATCCCGGCCGAAGGCCGGGTTACACTAGTTATTAATAATTATACATTGGTATAAAACCAATGTTTGTGTTGTTGATTTGAGGTGATATTAAAATTCCACCCGCAAATTATGAATATTATACAGTTCACAATGACAATTAAGGGTAATAATATATATAGTGATATGTACGTGATAGGGATGTGAGGATGTTGGTTATAACGTCTTTAATTCATTATCTTCGTCAAAGTATATCTGCTTCCTATTATTATATATCCGCGTACAACTTTATGGAAGGCGCGGAATGGAGTGGCTGGGTGATTTGTCTTACTCTTATTTATAAAATTCCGTTATAACGGAATTTTATTTTTTCTTAATATTACTTGAAGCTGACATCGTTGACAATTTTGGTAAGGTTAGTACGATGGGCTCACCCGTTTGATGTTAAAAATCGTACATCAAAGTTCTATTGTCCCCTGAAATTTAAACCAAGTTCATAAAAATATCGAATCACAATCTCATTACAGGGTAACTCATGAATAATCGCCGTAATAAATAATGATTTTAATAATTATCCAATTTCAGACGACATCACAGAGTACTACATGCCCGTGAGGTTCCTGTTTCTGGTTATTGGACCCCACTCCGACTCCGTGGACTACCACGAGGTGGGCCGGAGTATCGCTACTATCATGAGTAATCAGGTCATTAATTAGATAATTGATTAATTTTTAAATATCCATATCGTTTTCAGTTGTGTCATTTCATTTCCAATGTTACACTTTGTAGGAACTGATATTAACCGAGTTTCTGATTCAGGATGTTACTAAAGATAGCAATGAAAATGTTTTAACAGCTCAGTACTGTGTATTACTACAGCTCAACCTGCTCAGTCTGACTAATTGGGAATTTAAACTCTTGAAATTAATTAGGGGACATCTACTTAGGACGTCCGGCAAATAGAGAGGGGGGTGGTTTTTGAATTTCGGACAAATCCGGACAGGGGAGGGGGGTGGTTTCTAAAAATCCGGACGTCCGGAAATTTTTGCAGAATTAACAGAAAAGTCCCATTTATTTCAACTCTTTGACACTAATTACTCTGTAAGTTTAGATCCCTGTATTTTGAACGAGAAGTCGATTCCCAGAGCACTCATGAGAGCCGAGATACAACTCGCATATTCTCCTAGCTACTGCCTTAAAACTTATTCGATTGGATGGCTACTTAAGTACTTAAATGTAGCTGTGCTAAACTTGTTCGACACTAAATGTAGGTATTATTGTCTATTTTAAGGGGGTATGTATTATTGTCTATTTTAACGGCTTACTGATTAAGCCGTTCGGAAATTACACACGTACATACACACGTACATACACACTACACACGTACACACACACATACCCACACCTTTATTGAGATAATAATTTAAGATACATATCATGATGTTTGAAAGACGCCTGAGGGCTTTATTGACGGAGTGTCTGAGAACTATCTACCTCGAACACTTCATCAGATGGTTCAATATTTCGTTCTCTTAACAAGTTTCTCGTTCTTTGTCTCCTAGTCAGTCTGTAGTTATTTATTATTGGCGATCTTGATCGGGCTATGTTGAAGGCTTGTCCGGTGACTGCTGAAAAACTCATGTCACCTGAAAATTATTGATTAACATAATTAATTCCACTCTAGATATCAGTATCATGCTAAAAATTAATAAAGCTAGGTATATATTATTATAAATAAAATTCGAAACTGATAATAATTATCTATGTTTCTTTAAATGAAACGCAGTAAAAAGGTGTAAGGGTATAAGGGCCTCAACGTTATTTATTGTAGGGGCAATAAATAACGTTTTTGATATTAAAATTAGATTTAGCAGGATATTTGGTGGTACCTTGAAAGGAAACTGTAGATAACCTCTGACGAACTTCTCCTTTAAGGTAATCTCTGAAACTTTTAACAGTAAATGCGTAGATAAACACGTTATACATGACACTTAACCAAATTGATTCTTTAGCCAGTCTGTGGTATAAAGGGTAAAATGAACTTCTCATGGGTAAATCAGATTGTTCAGTCAGTGCATCGACGACCATGTAGCTGATAAAAGGCAGATAAGAAAGAATATACAAGGCTGCAGTCATCTGAACTGTTATGAGACCCTGCCATCGGAAACTTCCTCTGCTTCGTTCTGCTGACCTTTTTGCTTTTAACAGATGAGAAACCAACAGAGCTGACATAATAACAATAATAATCATTGGAATGAACCCAAGAACAACTGATAAAACAAGCTGGAGCCACCGCCAGATGTCTGACGTGTATCCATACGCACATATATAAGTTCGATAGTCGAAAGCCACATCTTCTCTGTCTACAACGAGGAAAGATATGGGTAACACAGTTGATATGATCCAGATAAAAACACTGAGGTAGAATGAAGCTCGCTTTCTGAACCAGAGCTTAGCTTTGAGAGGGTAACTGAGCAGTATCCACTTGCACGTTGTTATAGCTGCAATATACTGCAACTTAGCTGAGTGTCCAAAGTAGGTAGCCATGACAACACAATAGCACAAACCCCGTCCAAGTACCCACTGGTTAGCAATAAGTGATGCGGTTTTAGGTATCAAACAGGAGATAGCCAGTGCGAGATCCAGCATGGCAATATGTTCTACAAACATTACGATGACTCTGTGCAGTTTTATTGCTCTGTATTTCAAAGAGGCTACTAGTATGGTAGTGTTTCCGAAGAGAGATGGAAACAGCATGATAATCAGCCAAACTGTCCAAACGTACCTTAATCCATCAGTTTGTTCGCCGTAGAGGGTTCTGTTGGAAAAATCCGGGGATTCCATCCTTTGTAATATAGAAATTGTATTTAGGGCATACATAGTTTCGAATGGATGAATAATGACTAAGGTATTTTCTGCAGACTTTAGTAAGTACAAATAAACAAACCTCTCATACTGTGCCACTTAGAACAGATGTTAGTCTACACTCTACAGCCTGGTATAGTAGCATGACCTCCAATATCCAAAGGTCAACCAGTGCTTAAAACTTGCTCCACTGCCATTCTGTTATAATATGACACAAATTTTCAGTCAAACATAATGTAATATAATCAAACAAAACTTTAGTAATTAGTATGTGCCAGATGGATGGATCGAGCTCATTGAAGTTGGTACACTAAGTAAACTGGGAAATTGCCGGAACATCACTCAATGCTGCCTACTCTTTTTGAATTTGTTAAGGGAAAATGGATAAACCGTACGCGTTTTGACGGCTAGACTGCTAGGCAGGATTGCGTTTAAGGATGTAATTCAGGATCGCTATTGCGTATTTTTGGTGAACCATGGCAGTAATTTAGTATTTCTTTAAAGACGAAAAAAGTTTGGTGTTCCGTCCTGCCTAATCAGTTTTATTGTCATTGCCAGTATACAATTATTATTCTTCTTACATGATTTCCGAGTATTTCCTTCTGCAAATGAGTATCAAATTGTCGAATTCCGACAAAGGTTAATTCAACTATTAAAGATGTGAAATGTTTGATAAGTATGAATAAAATGCAGACCATTGCTTCCTCATGATCTGGCTATAGCTAAAGCTACAATTTTTCACTATCACAGCGATTTGAGATGTCTAATACAATTCCAAAAACGGAACAAACAAACGAGCTGCTGGAAAAGACATTTATCATTCACGTTTCATTCGATTTGTTCGAATGAGTGGTGAAAGCAATTCACAAATAATCAAACAATTCAGACTATCAAAGACAGGCCATCAATCTGTTCTTTGATCTTTATAAATTATTGAATAAATAAATAGAGATAATATACTTAGAATGGGGACATCTATCTCGTCACGTGAGTGCATAATTATTATTATTATGCCACTTTACATAAAATATGTCAATAATTCAACTTATCCAACTGGTGTATAACACCAGGTGAATAATCTCAATAATGAGTAGGTATAAAATATTTAACTGGAGCTCAAAAATCTATTCCAGGTGCAATTGCAGGGTCAGAGTAATAGACTTTTTATCAGATACAGATCTGTGTTAGTGTATTACAGCAATAGTCAATGAAGTCAATATTGGTCTCCATTGATAGAGTTCTAAGTATTTTGGCGAGGAGTATTTGTTATTATTCTATTATTGTGGGGTGCACTGCACCTGTATTATAACCTGAACATACTCAATAGTATAGGAAAAGAATCAGAAAAAAGTTCATTATCAAATATCAATGCATATCATCAGATGACAAGTAATACTATCAATAATTGAGAAAAAACAAAAGAGGGTGAAAGTTGGCAAATGAACAACTCCTTAAGCTGAATCCCTCAACAGTAAGTCAGTATTAAATTCTCTGTCTCAATTATGCTCATCGCCAGCTAGACTAACTCCAATTATCCTGCTCATCTAATTTTTAAAGCTTTTAGGAGGGTAATTCTAGAATTTTACATCTTGTATTGTCATGACGCTCGGTGTGATACATCAACCTTGTAAGTTATTTGATCGTTAAACTAAACAATCATGTAATATGCCACGTTACATACTACGCTGTTGACTAATCCAAACTGAGAGTAAGGCTTAAGCGTGGTGTTTTCCTCGAAATTTGCCTTACTTGAGTCAATCTTAGGCAGGTGCGGGAACGCACTATTTGCAAAATCTTACCGCATCTATACATTGCCTCTCTTGCTTAAACCGCTCAAGAGATTGAGAAGTTACGTCCCACAAAAGATGAATGAACATACAGAAAGACAAAGAGGGAGCATACATATAATAGCCGTACCTAGCTGCTGATTATAAACAACAAGATTATAGAACCAGCCGCCTCGATGGATGGGTGGTAGAAAATTATGTTCTAGCAACTTGACAATGACAAAATTACCATCATGTGATTGAAACAATGTTATACATTGCGTTTATACACTCGCGTTTATCGCATCCACAGACCTTCTACCTCGAAATTTATAATTACTTTGGAAATTCATCAACGGAAATGGAAGCAATGACACCATAGCTGATTACAGGCTGCTGTGAAATAGGATTGGCAATGAGATGCATGCAGAGTGCTGGATCAAATTAGCATACATCTGGGGTCTAACCCTCGCCCAATCTTGTAATCTTGTGCCTCGATCTTTGCTGGCTCCGGCTGTATTATCTACAATGACCTCCCCAATTTTACAATTTGACATTGTAGAGAAATTTATGTTATGATTTGTTGTTATGGAGTTGTGAAGCTTGCCTAATTATGGATATTTTTGGTTTGAACCTGGATAGTGTATCAATGCAATGAATTTTGACTATGCGCTAAGAGATAATTAGTAGTAATTAGTAGTAATATGCAACTTAACAGACGAGTAAGAGATTGTGGGATCATTATCTAGACAATGCGACTAATCGCACAACATATTATTATATAAGGTAACAATTGAGATGGAGCAGCAATGGTATTCAATTATCGTAACTATGTAATATGTAACAGATCACCATTTAGGACATGGGTATCGCAATAGCGGTTTGATCGAATCCTTATTTTATAAATCGGTGTTCATAGAAACAGGTCTTATCAACGAGCTTAAAGAATCACATAACAAAGCACACAACAAAGTACATAACGTATTACATATCAAAGTACATAACAAAGTACACATCAAAGCACATAACATAGTACATAACATAGTACATAACGAACTACATAACAAAGTACACACCTCAGGAGTTCCAACAGAAGATGTACTCCGCTAGCAGCAAGGAGGAGGTCCTGGCGGAGCTGAATGTGTTTCTTAACGACAGTATAGTCCTGCCCCCTGGAGAATACGGCGCTGACCATATCCTACCTAAAACTTTACAGGTGTGTTCTGTTATGTTATGTTATGTTGAGTATGTAGAACTCTGTGAACCAGAAAGGGGGTAAGAATAGTATAATCAACAGAATTTATAATTACAGTAGGTTGTTTGGAATCTTAGAAGATCATTTATAGACACATTGTATAAGCGTTTTTAAAATTGCAGAAATCGATAAGAAAGAGAAAAAAACAAGCGGCTGAAATCGATGAAGACAAACGAGGTATTGAATGAAACAGTTGCTATTATCTCACTATCATATCCATTTGAAATTTTTTTTACCGTCATGGGTACACCAATCATGATCATTTCTTACCATTTTTCCATGCTTGAACCTGAAAAAAAACCTCGCCTCTTCAGTGAGATACCCAGTGGTTGGATACACCAGCGAGCTAAAAGAGCACTTCGACCCCCTCTCCCGTACTGGGAGGTACTTTGGTGGTCTTATCAGAGATGTCAAGACGTTACGCAAGCGTTATCTATCGTAAGATAATAAATTTGGATATGAGTTAACTTAGATAGTGCAGACAATATGTTAGTCCAGTCAGTTATGCACATTATGTTATCTGTCAATGCTTTTCTCTCATCAGTGACAGTCTAGAGTCCTAGCCATTTTGACTTAACATTGACTCATTCTTCAATTATATTAAACATTAACCAGTGTCAAAAGCTGGTCCCCAAACAAACAAACATTTAACAACATTTTAACAACATTTTAACAACATTTTAACAAAATTTTAACAACATTTTAACAACATTTTAACAACATTATAACAACATTTTAACAACATTTTAACAACATTTTAACAAATTTTACTAGAGATATAAAAGATGGGATGAACCTAGTGACACTGGAAAGTGTACTGTTGATGTTCGGTCTGATGCTAGCCCCTGCTATAACCTTTGGAGGGTTAGCTGGTAAACACACTAAAGGGGACTACGGAGTCATTGAGATGTTGCTCTCTACTTGCCTTGGAGGTTTGTTAGATATGGTATACATAAATTAATGGGGGTGGGATTCTAGCCACAGCCTTATTTCATGCCATGTTTAAGTAGCCGAAGAATCCAGGTCCAAGGACTCCAAGGACTTCAAGGTTGCAACATACATATATAAAATTATGATAAGTAGCCGAAGAATCCAGGTCCAAGGACTCCAAGGAATCCAAGGTTGCAACATACATAAATAAAGTTATGATAATTAATTATGATTATAGCTCTTTTTTTGGGGGCACTGTAAAGGGTAAAGGGCCCCAATTTTTTTATAGAAAGGAAAGGCCTAAATTAACAACTTTGAACAACATTGTTACCCTAAAATACTTAATTTTTTTATTTGGGAAAACTTTGTATTTTTCCTTTTTTTCCTTACCTGTAAAAACTGTCTTCAGGAGTACCTGTTGGGCGCGCAAGGACTTAATTCGTCATCGCCAAATTCAAATCGCAATTACACGGTTATTTAAAGAGACAGTTAGAGATTTAGAATTTCGATCGTTGCTTTTTCCTTTGTAAAATCTGAGTCAAAAAATTGGATCTTTTTTTTATTAAACTTCCTTAAAAATCCCCTCAAAATTATTTAAAAAACATTTTAAATTTTAAATTCTACATAAAATAACACTTTAAAACATTAAACTTTTAAATTTAACCCTATTTAACACCTTTTTAAAATTTAAAAAGAAACCCATTACTTTAAAATTTTTAAAAATCTTTAATAAGTTAAAGGTTATATTCTATAAATAATGAATTTATTAGTTGGTTTATTATTAATTTAGGGTTTAAAATTGGGGGCTGGGGTCATTTAGAGTTTTAAACGTATTGAGATTTGGATCATTTAGGGTATTAAGATCCTTATCATTAACTTTTAAAAAATTGTCCCTGGCTCCGTAAAAACAATACAAAATAAATAGGTTTAAGATAAAATTAAGTAAATTTTAAAAAAGGGAGGAAGTAAAATATTATTAAAAAAATCAATGCTATAGGTTTTACCTGGTTGGCGGTGTAGGCCACCCTGAAATGGTAATCGTGGAGAAGGTTGGCTTTTTCACAATTGAATTGGTATAGGCCCTTTCCCAAAATCCCTTCCAACAGCTCTTCCTTTCTGCAATTTTGGGTATTTGTGCGTGATTTCCATCCCATTCTCGCTTGTGTTCTCTTCTGCCCGCTCTTTCCCCCCTTTTTCCTGTTGTTGTCCTCTTTCCCAGTTACTTATGAGTTTGGAGGGGCCGGAAATATTCTTACCTCTTCTTCACTTTCCCAACGGTTTTTTCTTTTTGGAGCTTCTGTTTGTGGAAACAAGAGTCCAGCCCTTCGCTAAGAAGCAGCTGAAACCTTTTGGGTTTCAATGATAAATTTTTATTTTTTTTTTTATGAGGAAATTAGGGGGAAAACAAAAACGGCTTGGAGGAATAAAGGATATTTCTTTATAAACTCGAAATCGGTTTTAGGTAAAAATTACGTAATTTTTTTAATTGGCTCCCAGGGTTTAAAGGTTCCTTGTGGGTCACCTCCTTGTTAACTTATGATTTATGCGGGTGTTTATGGTATTTAACAAGGTCTCTTATTCAAATACTAGTTTTTTATTCAAAATACAAAAGTTTAATCAAGAGCAAACAAATTTCAACAAACGGTTTTTCCCGTTTTTCCAAGTTTAACTATTACGGGAATTGGAAACCATTGGTTTACCATCTGATAGCTTTTGCTAACACCCCCTTCCTGGATTAATTTAGTAAAATTTTTAATCTGTTTTTCATACTATTTAATTCTGTGAAAAATTTTCCCTAATTTACCCCCTGATTACTCTATGTTCTTATACATTTTTACTTACATACATTAAATTTTCAATAAAAAATTCAAGTTCAGTGATTTTTGGGGGTGAATAACAATTTTTTGTTAAAGGTTGACCTCACTTTTTGAGAATTAAGGAAGGTAAACCAAAAATAAATTAAAGTAGGGCCCCCCTATTTATTTGGTAATTACCCCTTTCTATTAAACAACTTTTTGTTGCTGACAAAAAAAGGTGATACTTAAAAATTTTCCCTTTAAGGTCAAAATTTTTAAAGGGGCAAAATTTTTGGTAAATACGGGCCTTACGGGACTTACTAAAAAATGATATTTTTAAGGTACACTATATCAACCTTACTAGCCCTCACTACTTAAATATTACTTTCACAGTTTACATACGTAGCGGGTCGCACATATACATTATGTGTTTTGATATATCCGACAAGAGTTTTGATACTTTTGAATTACAAAAATTAAAATAATTTGAGAAGTAAATGAATTTTTTAAAATCTGAAGTTAATTTTTTATTATTACTGTGCCGTTGTGGAACAAAGAAAAACCTTTGTGTTTAAAGAGTAAAAGTAGTAGTAGCGTTTAAAAACAATCTTAATAAAAATAATAAAAATTACGATAAATCAGCTATGTCTCCATTCTCAAGCCGCGAGGAGGCGGGCCGAGAAAGGCAGATCGGTAGAGGTGGCTTTGGGTTTCCAGGTTGTCCTGGGGGCCCCTTTTGAATCTCCAACAAAGTTCGTGCCTTTCAGCCTGCTGCATTTGGCATTTGCTGCATCTGAATTTGCTGAAGTGCCAGAATACCCATTCTTGCTTGGGGGAAGCTCTTCACCCCAATCCTGCCATACAGTTTTCCCTATGTGTTGCCTTGGGCTGAAATGAGAGGCAGGAGAATTTCTCTGCCTCTTTGTCTCGTTCTTTACCTCCACGGGGGTTTTCCCTCTTGAGCTTGCTGGGGTACTAATGCTCGAACTTTTTTGCTGAAGTGCAAAGGCACTCTTGCTCCTCTTCACCCGGGTTTTATTCCCTCTACATCTGGTGAGGGTCAGTTTCTTTAAACTCCCAAGGGTGGGTCAGAGTCAAACTCACACTTGAGGGGGTTTTATTCCTCCTTTGATGATGCTCTCTAGGCATGACCCACTTCATCGGGTACGGCAATGTCGCCTTTACCCCCCCAGTTTTGGTGAGCTCTTTTTTCCGGCTGTGCAGACTTTTTTGCCTCATATTTAAGGTTGTCCATTTTTTTTGAGCTCTCCGCAATTCCTTTGTATAGGGGCTGAATACAACCAGAGTTGAATTGAGCAGTTAGCTCTCTCCAAGTCTTTGCTTTTTATTTATGTCTCTTATGTCCGACTGGTGACTTTCGATTTCCAGAATGTCTTTTTTCTCGTCAACCAACTTAACAAGATACGCTCTCTCCTCCGCTCTAAATTTTGGTCTTCTGGTGCTCTTTTCTTTTTATCGGTATCTCTACAGCTGCTACCTCTTCCTTTTTCATGTTTTCTTATAAAATCTTGTCGCTCATCCTGATGATGATATGAATATGTATAAAATATGCTGATAGAATTCAAATTGTACGTCAAAGAGAACAGTTTTGAAAAGTAAAGTTTTGGCGATTGAACTATCAACTATGTAAACGGGTTGAACTGCAATTTTATTTCAAATGATAATTACAGATTGTATACATTTTTTTAGTGAGTAACATTTTCTCGTAAGAACTCGAAAAAAATGAAAACTATTGGCTCTGATCAAGAAAATGTCTCAAGGGTAATACAGTAAGAATTCCGTCCCAAAAAAAGAGTCCCGACAGTCTCTCAAATAAACTTCACCCAAATGGGGTAACTAAACATGTCAATCTGTAGAATAAACAAAAGAGGTGACAAATAAGCCAAATTAAGGAAAGTGAGTAGCACTGCGCAAGCCACTATGAATTTTGGGAACTTGTTGAGAGACCTCAATCCTCTGCTAAGACATGGCCATCTCCGTTTAAGAAGACACCCCATAGTGCCTTGTTGAATTTCCCCTTTGTTCTTGAATTTGGAGGGTGGGGGTTTAAGGGGTCATCAAATACGGGGTCAAGGGATAGCCGATCACAAGGAGTTCCTGCCCATCCAGTTTCGAAGTCAGTGCTAAGCTTAGAATTGTTTCAAATTCTGCTGTCGTGAGTACTTCCAGGCCATCCACAACCACGTCAATGATTCTTTGCTTCTCATCGCACACAAATTGCGTGATAAAGGAGAAATGTTTTTCGACATCCCAAACAATTTCCCTATCCAAACCCCGGACTCTGAATGGAATGGTGAACCGTCCACAACCCACTTTACAGCAGGCAAACCCACAGTATTCTAAAAACCATTTGTTAGTTTCCTTGTGTCATCTGGAAAAAACTAATCTGGCTTGAAAGTTGTAGCGATAGCGTTAGTTACTCTGTGCACTGTCGACCACACTGTGACTGGGCTAAAGCCCCGAAAGTCGCTCAAGATATCTGAAAATCCCAGTGGCAAAAAACCGTTGCGCCACAGAGAGCTGCTGCATCGGGCTCATTGGGGGAAATTTGTTTGTTTTCTATACTGAGGAAAAAGGCTCCACAGATTGGTGGAATCGAAGAAAAAACCCCCCCTTTTTCTTAAACGAAAACGGTGATAAAAATCGACTCATCGTAGGCCTCAAGTGGATTCAGTCGATCTCTTAAAGTGCAGGGCCTGCGATGAACCTCTAGAAACTTCCCAAAAATTTCTGTAGGTCTAACAAGTCATCAAAATCACCATTTTTCTGGATCTAACAAAATTGCAATGAACTAGGCAATATTGGAAATTGCAGGTCTTTTTTAAATCTCAAAGGGGTACAAAATTGCAAAAAAAGGAAACGGACAATCGAATACAAATTAAATAAGGGCACATTCGCAAGCTTCTGACATGATGCCAATCACCAAAACAGTCACCTCCCAAGTTCTAAACACACCCCTCCCAAAACTGGTTTGTCACTTTTTATTTCTAATTTTCCGCTGAAAGGGTCACATCAGTGATCATTATTGTTGAATACCATTTTGAGTTATAGGTCGACCTCCCACTTAGAGCATAAGTGGGAGGTCAGCCTATAAATTAAAGTTGAGGTATTTCCAGTTGGTAAAAGTATGTCGATTTGGGGGCCAACTTTTAAGGGCACTTTAAGTGACACTTAAAATTTCTTTCCCTTTTAAAGGGCGTACTTTAAACCAAATTTGGTGAATACGGGCCTTAGGGAGTAAGTAATTGTCATTAAGTACTGTGTATTAAACCCCGAGGATTGAGATTTTTCTTGCTGTGGGACAGTGGGCACTAAAACGGGGGGTTTACATTTGGAGGGATTTGGATGGATGGAAGATGGGGGCCCCGTGATTTTTTCAAATAAATGATAAACAAATCCTCGCAACATTTTAACAGTTTTCAAATTTAATTTAAATACTCAACAAATTGCAAATTTGAAGTCTTAAATAAAATAATCTAATTTAAACAACGAGCTTTTTAATTCCCACGAAACAAACAATTTCAGTAAAAACCACTTAAAATAGTCAAATTTCGAAACAAAACAATCTTTCATTAAATTTAGCTAGCTCCACAAATTTTAAAACCTCAAAAGGGCTATTCA